GTTTGATCCCCTCGCGAGAGGCGTGTCCGAGGGAATCGGGGATCGGGGATCCCCACTGTTGTCGGTATTGGCTTAGGCGAAGATACCGACGATTGACATGCCAGCGGCTGCAAGAGAGTTAGCGGGGTTTGTGTAATGGGATAAGATGAACTGACCTCCGGCGAGAACGTAGCAGAACGCGGTGATCTTGTCCTTCTTGGTGAGGATGCGGTTGGCCTCTTCAGAGAGGAAATCCTCAGCCAAGAGGTCCACCAGGGCAGCGTAAAGCAAAAGTCCGGAAGAACTGGTTTACATTAGCAGGCAGAGTGGCATAGGACAAAAGCTGCACTCACATGGCGTTGAATACACCGACAATGATGAGACCAAAGGCACTGTCGGGGTCGTATGTGTTGCGGGTGGCGAGACCGATGGCCTGTCCGATGGGAGCGGTGGTACCGAAAGCAACGACCAGGACCCACGGACGGATGCTGCCCTTGGGGTAGGGAACAGCAGCAATACGAGAACCGAGACCAAGACCTTCGAACATTTGGTGGAAAAGAATGGCGACGAGAAGGATGATGAAGCCGTCAATGGTAATGGAAATGGTCATGCCGACAAACACCGAGTGAAACAGAATACCACCCTCAAGCATGGTAATGTTGAGCGACATCTTGCGATACACAGCGGGGTCAACGGCCTGCCCCTCCTCGTCATAGAACGGATCTTCCTGCTTGACCTCCTGCACAGCGACCTGCGAAACCTGCTTCTCCTGGGTTGATCGGATCATGTTCATCATCTCCATGCGCTGGCGCACATACTGCTCGTAAAAGACAACAAACCAAGGAGGCATGTCGGAATCGGCCAAGTTGGATGGCGGGGGCGCGCCATAGGTGCTCTCCTGGTACGACGGGAACTTCTCGTCGTAGGCGCGCTGGGCAACCTTCTTCTCAAAGTCGATGCTGTCGGCCTCGGCATCGAAGCTGTTGCGGCCATAACGCGGCGGTCTAGAAGGCATTCCGACGGCACCATGATGATTATGCGCGCCCTGGTCGTGAAAAACGTCACCAGTCGGGCCGCCGTGCGAGTGACCCCCAACCTTGGAGTTGATCCACATTTCGATGGTGAAGAGAATGAACATGGAAGCCATCATGATGGCGCCGGGCAGGGGAGGGTAATCATCGGTGAAGAGGTCCGGCAGACACGGGTTCATGAGATTGCCAAAGGCGGTGGGAAGCAGCTGTATTGCTATTAGTATTAGTCTCTGACGACTGCCGCGGTGGTGATGCACTCACATGGACGAATGCCGTTGCGATCAGCACACCCGTACCGAAATGCTTGCATGCGAAAAAGACCTTGGGAGGGACCTTCAACCACTTGACCTTCTTGGCCATTACGGGGAATCCAGCTCCTGCATCCACTCAGTTAGTTTCCGGCCCTACGAGATCCTCGTCGCTTGTTTTTGATTGCGTACCAAAGATGGAAAATCCCAAAACCAAGACTGCGCCAAGTTAGCCAAGTTGTTCGGTTAGGTGATGTTCGCCAGGTTTGCGACTTACAAAGACCGGCGACGTGCAGACCGACATCGTACTCGCTGGTTCCGCCCTTCTTGCCGCCGCATTGCGGCTTGGGCTCCTTCATACCGTCCATCTTGATTAAAAATGGTAGTTTTTTGTTTTAAAAGGGACTACTACTTGATTGGTAGCCCCAAAAGAAAAGCGAATTGAAGTTGAGAATGGAAGGGACAGCCAATTGTCCTGGGCTGCCTAATAACGACGACTCATTTGAGAAAGGAATGTTACTGAAAACAAGGGGACACGAGAAACCGTCCCGCGGCTTCAGTATGAATAGAACAGACGAAAAAAAAGTGCTGATCTAGTCCCCGCTGTCGTAATTGTCGGAGAGGGCAAGGAAGGAAAAAAAGACAGGACAAGAAGAGAAAGGAAAAAAGGGAAGGAAGAAACGGGCGCAATAAGAATCGAACGAGACCTGACGCTCTGTGGCGAGCAGAAAAAGAAGGCTTGGGCAAAGTCTGGGCTCGACTTGCTTTAATATGCTTCATGTATGACAGCCCGCGCATTACTTCCCGCGTGGAAACGGGTAGGGCAAGAATAAACGTCGACATGGGACAACAGCCCTTGCGCCAGTACCGCCCGGCCGAATCAGAAATAGAAGACTGCGGCCAGGATGAGGCAGCTGAGGAAAGGGACCTTGTGTGGGTTCGCGATGGGGTACGTGGCTGTAGCGTCCGCCTCGCGGGAAGCGGGAGGCGGGAGGACCTGAGTGGGAACAAGGTTGTCCGTGGGACGCGGCCGTGAGCATGGGACGGAGGCGAGGGAGAGGGTCACGATGAGGACGAGGAGGATAGGCTAAGTCAACCACGGTTCAAAGGTGCAGTTTGCTGCGGTGCCTGAGACCCAGCTTGTCTCTGGGCATCGATGATCCCAGGCGTCAACCGGATCCGATGTTGGCGGATTGTTCGATCATGTTTCTCGTTATAGCATGATTTGCCGGCAGAACGAGACTGGGAGTCTGAGAGCCCGGCTCGACCTGACGGACTGGAAACGAATTGGTGGGCGGATAGACGCGGATTGGAGGGTCGGTTGTGTCTATCGGCCGCAATTCGTCTCGACTTCTTCTGCCACCGTTGCCGGCCAGCGCTTGGTGTTGGGCCATACTGCATAGCAGGTTGCTGTCTAGTTTGGTGTAGTCTTAGATGGCGCGAATGATGAACAACCATCCAAAACGAGACGACGGTCGATCTTCCATCGGGAAGTTGCCAGCCCAGGACAAAAGACGACGCAAGAGGCCACAGAAGACAGGGGTGTGGGACGTGGGGTGCGCGTCAAATGGGGCTTGCCGGCATATGAAAAATTTGGGTTGTGTGAAACGGGAGGTTCCCGGGGTCTGCGTCCAGGGTCGCCAGTCGGAGAATTCTTAAGTCGATTTGACCCTGGAGAGGCGTCTGTCCCTGGTGTTGGCGGCGCGGGGGGGCTGGAGGATGGAGGAGGCGGAGGAAGGGGATGGCTCGGCGGGACAGGCACAACCGTTGGAGCCAAGAGCCGAGCCAAGAGGCCGCTGACACGCTTGGCTGCCATTCTTCTTCATCGAAGAAATTAAGCTTGGCGGGAGTCTCCTCTCTGCGAGATGGCTAGCTGCCTTAGCCCCCGAGATCGTGTGTGCATCCGCACTCGCATCTGCCGCTGTTGCTGCTGCTGTGGCTGTTGCTGCTGCAGCTTCTGCAAGTGTCTGTTCGTCGAGGTGGCCCAGCAGCACAAGACAGCAGCCGCCGCAGCACCCTTGACACTGACCTTCTGGCGTGCTTCTTTTTCGAGTTCACACCAGCCCTGCCGTGGGTCTCTGCTGGGTCTCTCTGCGTCTCCTGTGTCTCGTCTCACGTGCTGAGTTGCCTACACTAATCGGCGGCCGGGTGAGGGGCAGGTTTTGGCGGTTTACCTAACAGGCGACGATCGGGGTCGCGGCTTAGTCGGAGGCTGATGCATCATAGCTGATGGCTGAAGCTCTCGAGGCAGGCGACTGACTCTGAATGGGCTCACAGATGGGATGGGATGACATGCTGGAGGGCAAACGTCGTCAATGGTCGCGCACATCGGGTTTCTGGGCAAGGGCAGCTCAAACCTGGAGAGCCAAGGAAAAGAGGGAAAAGAGGAGCTTCTCTCGGCGTCTGAGATCAAGCGAGGCTGGGCGCAGCGACGACGAGACGACGTATCTGTCGATGTCTGGGACGCTGGAGACGTGAGTGTGTGTGTGTCCGTTTGTTCTTGCAGTTTTTGTGAGGAAAGGTGTGTGTATGGCGCAAGGTGTCTGTGGTGTGTATAGCAAAGGATGGAAAAGCAACTATTGCATCCGAGAGCGTGATGCAGAAGAGAAGGCGGAGACGAAAAGAAGTGGGGCCATTGCGTCGGTTGTCGTTCATTCTTGCTTTCCGAGGAAACAAACATGCAAGACGTCCCGAGCACTCAGCTCCTTTAGGCAGAGCAGGCCCTTGACTTTTGCTCTCGTCAAACTCAACCCGAGTCTCGTGTGCAGCTCACAGACAGGCGGGCCAACAGGAGGCTCTGGATTACGCTACAGCTACTACGTAACTTTTGTCATCAGAACCTTGCCCGCACTACCAAGTAAGGTACCTTGGGAGCCTGTAACAGCCCCAAACTCTTGGCAGAGGGACTATCGCTTCCTGTATCGGTGTACCCACGCGGCACCTGGGGCTGCCGTTCGGTGTGAAACAGCCCCGCCCGGCACCTCGCAGCCAATGGCGCCCAATCACGGCCCCCGCTGCCCGCTGTGCTCGGATCGCAGTCCTGATCGTCCTCGACTCTCTCTCTGTCATCCATGCGCCATCACAACAAGCACCTTCGTCGTCGTGACATGCTGTTGCAGGGACACGTCGGCCTTTTGTCTCCAGGCTAGCCCAAATGTGGTCCTTTACTTCACTCGACTCCGCCTGCCGCCTACGATCGCCCCTCGCTTACACTTTACTCGACCCGGCTCGACTGTCCAAGACCAGGAACACCGAAATAGATGCCCCCTGACCGACAAACCTCGTGCCCCATCACCGCTCTTCAACTGGCTGGATGCTCGACTTTTCCAAAGAAACAACCGGCAGACCGCGCTGAGAGACCACTCAAATCAAGAAATCTTGCCGTCATCCTGCCAGGGGCTGTTGTTTCCCCCTCTTTCTCGACACGTTCTAGCCCGCCCGCACATTGCATTGAAGAGCTTACTGTTAATCGTCCACGTAAGAAGGGGCCGTCCATCTCTTGCAGCGGGCGGCGGGTTACCTCCCCCGGCGGATGCGGAATGCGGAGGCGGCTCATCAGAAGCAAGCATGGCATTATATGAAAACCACATACCTTTCAAATAGCATAGCATGGCACGGCATGGCGGCCGGATCTGTCTAATATATTACTCCCACTCGCAAATCGCGGCCTACCCGTTATTCCTCATCTTCCCTTCTACTGCATAGTACCAAGAACAGAACCCAGCTCAATAGCTTCCCGAAAATGCAAACTCCACGCGAGTCCCGGGACAATGTCCAACCATCGTCCAGTACGTGGGTTTCGCCTTACCTTTCTTTCCTGCCCACCCCCTTCACCCCCCTTTCCACTCACTCCCCTTGGCCTTGCCTTGCCTTGTCTGCTGCCTCGCACTGCTTGACTTGGCCTCGCCTTCGCCTCCCTTCTCTCCTACCCAATCCCTGGGCGCTGTGGTTGGTTCATCACATCCTCGCTGAGATGTGCGACGCCTGCTGCTGCTACTCGCATCGGATTGCCCTGCCCACTGACCACCGCTGGCCACTGCTTCATCCCACTACACCATCGACCACTCGACCGCTGACCATTTGCTTCAGTCACTTCATCTCGAGGCAACTCTGTCGGTGATCTGAAAAGTGATCCGAAAGGTGAAGCCAACAGTGAACCAGGCCAACACCCTAAAGACGACCAGGTCATCATCACACCCGTCCCAGCCTCTGGCACGGACGACAAAGCTGTCACAGAAGGGCTCTTCACTTCAACTACGAATGGCACAGCCGTTGACAAGCAGGACGCGCGCGTCTCGTCCAACACTGACGGGGCCGACGCCTCCACCGTCGACACCTTCTACCGGCCCGACCCCTACGACTTTGGCCGACACCGCCGTGACAATGTCTCCAAGAAACAGATGAAGATTGAGCATCCCAAGGGTAACAAGAGGAAGCTCTCAAAGTTCTACACCCGCCAGAACGAGCTCATCGACCAGTTCCTGGGCGCCGAAGATGAAGAGAGGCAGCAGGTCGACGAGGATGCGCGGATGGGCCCCAAGATCAAGTTCGCCGTCAACGCATCCTTCACCGTCAACTTCTGCCTCTTTGTCATTCAGCTCTATGCCGCCGTCTCAACCGGGTCTCTATCGGTAAACAGGCACCCAAGACCCTGTGCTCACGGACTTTCTGTTGACTCGTGAAATCCAGCTGTTTGCCACTGCAGCCGATGCTTTCGTCAGTAGACCCTTTTTCCCTCGGTGAGGTGTTGGTGTAGAGGTTGACCAAGAGATGCCCAGATGGACCTCGTCTCATCCTTTGTAATGCTCATCACGTCGAGATTGGCAGCCAGGCCAAGCGTTTACAAGTACCCGGTGGTGAGTTACAACACGTGCGACACCTTGGCAATAGGATATCCGGGGTTGACAGAAGGGGTGAAAAACTAGGGACGAACCAGGATTGAGACGATTGGCATCATTCTCTTTTGCGCTCTCATGACCACGGTCGCCATACAGCTGCTGGTGAGTTGCCAAGTGACGGTTTGGCTTGGTCGGGTTTGGAGATGCTGATCTGGGGATAGGTCGAGTCAGGCCGTGCTCTTGGCGAGGGCAAGCGGGCCTCTGAGGAGCTGCACATCATCCCCATCGTCATCGTTGGCGTTGCCATCTTCGCCAAGGGCTCCTTGATGTTGTACTGCTTTGCCTACCGAAAGTACCCCTCGGTGCATGTCTTCTTCGTACGTGGTCGTCCCATGAGTCCAGTCCCTTCAGATGACAGTTGGGCTAATAATAGCGTGTGCGTAGATTGACCATCGCAACGACATCGTCGTCAATAGCTTTGGTCTGATAATGTCCGTGGTGGGCGATCGCTTCGTGTGGTATCTCGACCCGATCGGCGCCATGTGCATTGCCCTGCTCATCCTGTTCTCGTGGGTCGCAAACGCCTTTGAGCAGGTCTGGCTCCTGGTCGGAAAGTCCGCGCCAAGAGACTTTCTCGCCAAGCTGACTTACATGTCAATGACACACGACACTCGGATTCTCAAAGTCGACACCGTAAGTTGGCGTTTGCCAAGTAAATGATGAAAGCCGTCTCTGACAATGAAGCAGTGCCGGGCGTACCATGCCGGTCAGAAATACTACGTGGAAATCGACATCGTCATGGACGAGGCGACTCCGTTGAAGATTTCTCACGACGTGGCGCAAGAGCTGCAGAGGAAGGTCGAGGGTGAGTCTGCCGCTGTCGTTGGACTGTGGCTACAGAGCTGACAAACAATACAGGACTCGGCGATGTCGAGAGAGCCTTTGTCCACGTTGACTACGAGGACCAGCACAACATCCAGACCGAGCACAAAGCATTGTACGAAAAGGTCGAGAAGAAGCCCAAGAGGACGCTGAAAGAGATCCTGCTGCGGACGAAGAAGGACACTAGCAAGGTAGTCGAGACGGAGATCTCGAGCGGGCGAAACTCGTCCTGAGAAGAGAGACTGGAGGGAAGGGAAAAGGCCTGGAGGAAGGAAACTACGAGTAATAAAAGCGAAGAGGCTGGGCGTTTGGGCCGCAATAATCTGGTTTAATCTGTTTTGTCTCTCTCTCCACGATAGTCGTTCCGGCAAGGTTGTGGACTCGACCCGTGTCGACCCCGGCCGCCTGCTGCACACCACAGCGGGAACAGACGGGAACAAGCGGAACAGACAGTCCCGCCTGCGACAATCATGGAGCCACAATGGGCGATGAGGTCTGCTCTGCGCAGAGCGGCATCCGAAGGACGTGAAACAAACATGGGGGTACGGACGGCAGATGGTGCATCCAGTAGAAAAGGCATACATAGAGGAAAACATCCAGAGAAGCGTAATGATTTTGAGCTTTGCAGAAAAGGACCCACAAGGGCATCGTCGTTTGTGTGTCCCAGACCCTTCTGAGGTGCGTATGCACGCATTGGCGACGATGGCGGGCTGGCATCGACAGATACGACACAGGGCGGTGTAAGCTGGCTTGCATCTGGTCTCCCAACGTCTGCGTCGTGAAAGATGCTACGCTGCGCGAGCTAAAATCCCCAGCCAAGCTCAAGCGACAGACTTGGCGGTGGAAGGCAGTATGAGACGGCACAGCCAAGCAGTTTTGTCGCGTTGTAGTCTTTCTTCTCTTTCCCCGGCCATCGAAAGACTTGGCTGCGCACCTTTGCTCGTCGACCCCGGGCTTGGCTTGGCGGGGCGACGATGGGAAGGCCAAAAGCGAGGGGGGCAACAGAAGAGCACGGGCGATGGCTGAGGAGCAGGGCCCCCATGGTGTATGGTGGGACGAAAGGAACGTGCGGTTGATGGCTTCGACGTCGATCCAGGGGTTCTCCCACTTCCCATACCATGCTGCGGTCACTCGCCGTGGGTCGGGCTGTCTCAGCTCTCGACTGTCGTCGAGTAAGCATAACGGGGCGCCGGAGTGCGCTGCAACGTCCAATCGAGCAAGAGACTCTAGGAAGTGAGGCTGCCATCATGTTTTCCAGATGCATTGCCGCGGATAACGAACAGAAAAAGAAAACAGGTGAAATGGCATGGAAATGGCCTTTGCAGCTGCAACGGTCTGGCTCTTACTAGTCTCGTCTCACCTGATATCTCATACTAGACGTCGACTGACATTGTTCGCCGTTGGTTCTTGTCCTGGATCGACTGGATGAGTTGACTGCGGGGGCCGAGGAAACCGTCGGACTTTTTTTCTTTCCTTCTCGTTCAAGGGTTCACATCAGCTCGAGTGTCAAAGCTGTGATCATCGACGATGGGTCTCCGTCTGACGCGGCGGGCCATGCTGGCCGCATATCCTCACAGCCTCAGCTCGCATGATCTTTCGCTTATGTTTCGGCAGTGGTGCTTTTTACGTTATGATTGTCGAGAACACCATTGCTGTGCCGTGATAACCGACGATATCTATTTCAGGCAACCGAAAAGGAATTCTACAGCCAACTCGAGAGAGTCTTGCTATCCGGGCGCGTAGTGGGCACAGGCGATAATGGAGATAACGACGACGATAATGACGACGAGGACGAGGACGAGGACGACGACAAGAATGACAATATGAACGAAATTAGAGATATAGTGGAAAGAAACAGCAAAAGTGTTAAGAATTAGATCAATTAGATAGTTAACTGCCCGATTAGCTAGAAGTATCCGCCTGGATATCCAAAGTCACCCAAAGTCTGCGCGGGCCTGGCTGGTCACACCGAGACACGTCACCGATGAAATCGACATGTCTGATCTCTCGCAGTATTTACGACAAGACCAAGCACCGAGACTTTTGAACGTTGCTGGCTATTTTATGTCTAAAATTAGGATAGAACACAGTTGAAAGACTGCTCTTGAAGCCTTTAGTGAGCTTCACGAATGAATCTGGGTTGTTTCCAGTTAAGGTTGAGGACCAACTTGCGGGTGACTGAATCGAATAGTGAGAGACCTCAAGCGGCCTTGTTTCAGGTGAACGTGCTTTGAATCTTCTTCAATCGATTTGAATAGCCACTCACGGAAACATTGGAGCGTTTGAGTAAGAATCTCATTCTTGATAGCTCGTGTCTGACTGAGGACGGTGGGCGCTTTTGTTGCGATGCCCACCCTCCGTCACCACCGAAGACAAGTAATATATCATTCAACACATAGTACCGATGCACTTCGGATCCCTCTCGAGTGATGAAGCCTCACTGTTGTCTTGGGTCTCTTGGCGGGCTTTGATGAGCTACATCGTGAGGAGTCAGACACGAATGCATTGTCAATCTGGGAAATGAATCCCGTCGGAGACAAAATTGAGCTGATTTAAAAACTACCCATCCTCTGGAAGTAACCTCAGATTCCGAGTGCCAATTTCTGCACTTCTTTCAGAGTCAATTGTAGCTTCCGTTGAATTAGCCTAAAACGGCAATACCGGCCGGACCGGCACCGGAAAGATCCTTAAAGCCCGATAAGAGGGGCCGTCTTTCTCGGGTCTGTGCACCCTCCCTCCGGCCAAGAAAAAATCGGAGAACGGACCAACTCTTATCCGGCGCAACGCCAAAAATTGGGAAACACCATCCGCTACATCTTCAATCGACGACGACGACGCCGACCGACGCGACCGGCACGAATCCCAGCAAACGAAAGACGGAGCGCAGTCAATTGACACCAGCTGCCCCTCCAACAGCCTCCGGAAAAAAAAAGAGGGAGAAATCCTCTCACCAGCCAACCACCACCCCCCGTCCGAGCCGCGCCCGCCCAACATGAGGCCCTCCCCGATCCTCCAGGTGCTCAAGTTCAGGCACCTGCGCCTGACGACCAAGGACGTGAACAAGGGCTTCTACAAGGGAAACCGCACCGGCGCCATGGGTGAGCACACCAAGTACGGAGGATACAAGATCGACTACAAAAAAGTGCGGACGTACGTCGTCCCGAAGGGCCTGAAAAACTTCAAGGTTAGTTTCCCCAGGATTTCTACCATCACACACACACGGGGTGTCAAGCTCGGCAGTTGCTAACGTCTTCGAATGCCGCGCAGCTCACGCCTTTTGTTTCCGAGCTAGTGAAGCCCGCAGGACGAACGTACAAGAAGACCAACAACCCCGCCGGACCCCGCGACCCAGCACTGTTCCTCAGCACGTGGAAGGAGAAGAACGGCTTCGACTAATTTGCATGGGCCGACAAATGATGGCACGATTCGAGCGGCGGGGAGAAATGGGACAAAAGCCGCCAGACGAAGCTGTGCCAGCGGACAGCGAAAGACGGCTGAGTTGCACAAAAGTTGTATATACCCTTGAAGCATTGTAACAATATGTAAAACGATTGCACGCCCAGCTTCGCTTATCCAAACGCTGGGAACATGCGGCACGTGAGGTATGCAAGATTCATCCAAAACTTATTTATACACATTAGGGTATTGCTGGTCTGGCCCGCGTGGATCACGCCGTCTGCTCGACCCCGCCGTTTGCAGTCTCTTTGCCTTTGCCCTTGCTGAGGGGAAGGTCCTCCGCCGCCGTCACGAACTTGTCCATGGGGGGCCGCTCGCTCCTGCCCGCCGGGGTTGGTTCAGGAGAGACCTCGGTGGCCTGGCTGTCCTGGACTCCTGAACTGACGTGATCTTGGTCCATGGGCGGCATGGGGCTGATGGGGCGGCTGTCAGCGCCGGACATCAGCGTCATCATGCTCGCCGTCTCTGCGTCCTTCTTGCCGAGGCTGAATGGCAGGGCGATGCCGTCGAGGAACGGTCGCTTGCCAGCCACCCCGGTTCCAGGCACAAATTCCGGACTGAGGTGGTCATTGGCCTTCTCCTGCTCCTTTCTCTTCTCGATGAGAGCAGCGACGGGCGTCTCTTCCACGTCGGTAGCCTGAGAATCCAGGACCTGAGAGCTGGTGTTCTGTGACGTTTGATGCTCATCGACAACGACGCGCCGCTTACTACCGCTTCGCTGGATCGGTGCCGGGTCTTGCTGCTCTACGTCCTGGAACGACCTGGCCCCCTCGCCGCCTTCTTCCCTCGTCATGGACGTCTTCGCCTCCGAGTCCGCCTTCTTCTCTCTTTCCATCGTCATCTCGTCGTGCTTGGACCCCCAGAGCGACCACAGAGCCAGACCCAAGCTCTTGGTTCTCTTGCGGTCTAGCAGCTCATCCGTGGCTCGGCGTCGCCCAGCCAGAGCGGTTGGTGGCGGCTTCTCACCGTCACCAAAGTCCACGAACCCGGCCGCCATATCCTTGATGATGTTCTTGTGCACCTTGGCCTTGGTGCTGGAGAACTTTTTATCGAACGCAGCCTTCGTCTGGAGCCATCTCTTGACTGGCGTGGGCCTAACGACACCAACCTCTTCCTGCTTGATGGTGCAGCCAGGCAGCTCTGATTCAGGAACGAGGTCGTGGACCACGCCATGCCGGGTGATTCTTTGCCGAATCATGTGCTTCTTGAATGGCGGCAGCGGCATACCCGCCTTGCCGACTTGCTGCGGGACAGCCTCGGAGCTTTCTCCTTCTTGCGGCTTGTCAGACTCGGACGCTGAGCTTGAAATGACACTAATGTCATCGTCGTCCAGAATCTCAATCTCCGTCTTCTGGGCTCTCGCCAGAGCCCAGGCGCCAAACTGCGCGACGGCTCGATACATGTACTTGGCCGGACGGGTGAAGCTGAGTGTTGGGGCAACGTGACAAAGGTCGTCCCACACCTGGAGCTGTACGTCGGTGGGCTTGTATTGCTCAATTTGTCGCATAGCCGCCTCGTCGAGGTTGGGGGGCGTGTATTTGGAGGGGTTCGCGCACTTGTGGGCGAGATAGATCTGTTCATCGCGGAGCACCTCGCCTCCTCCGACCATGATCAACAAAGGGGGAAGGCCGCCGAGCGTGGGCTGCATAATAGGGCTAACCATTGGGTGAGATAGAAGAGCATTCGTCGTGTACATCTAGAACAGTCAGTAGTGTCCCTCATGAACCCGAAACCACCGACCTGAATTTGATCCTTGACCGTGGTCGGCTTGCCGTCAATGGTAACAGAGAGCTGAAGGGCGGTCCTGCGGGGGTCTGCGTCTTCTGTTGGGTTCTCGTTGGTCTGCGAAGCACCATTGACAGCAGTTCCCTCCGCAGCGGGGTCCAAGGAAATCGGAGCGGCCTGCTTCTTCTCCAGTGTGTTGAGCTTTGTGGCGTTCTTCTCCTTGCCAGCCCTCGCCTTGATGGCCTGCTCTCTCATCATCGCCATGTCGTCCTCGTTCGGCGGCGGCCACGCTCTCGATGGCTTGTGGTGGAAGCCCGAGGGCGGGATGTAGTCGAAGGGGTTGTCGCCAGAGACGCTGGGAAACGAGTGGGAGAGGTCAACCCACGGGCTGATGAGGATCGCGCCGGCCGGGAGCGGTATTCCCTGGTCTCTCAAGATGACCATCATTGACAGGACCATGCCGCCGCCTGCCGAGTCGCCGGCCAGCACAATCGTGCTGGGGTCTTGGACCGTGAGCAGGTAGAGGTACGCGGCGAGACAGTCCTGTAGCCCGCAGGGGAACGGGAACTGCGGCGCCAGGCGGTATTCCGGTGCAAACACTCTCGCCTTGAGCTTGCGAGCATGACGCTGCATCTGGTAGCGGTGCTCGTCGACACTACCAAAGAAATAGGCACCGCCATGGACGTACAGCATCGCGCGCGTCGTCTTGCCGTCGTTCCTCTTCCGCTCGTGGTAGTCAGACCGCATCTCGATCCACTCGGCCTTGAGAGGGCTGTTGGGCTGTCTCCATCTCCACCACTTGCGGCCACCAACAGCGTGAACGCCCCCAGGTCCCAATTGAGCCTCAATCAGTTCCGCGGACCTCTCGATGTGGTCCTCCGGCACCTGGGCATCCTCTACTTTGACCCATTGCGGATGCGGGACCCATTGGGCCGTGAATGCCTGCAACTCTTCGACGGTGTGCTGCGACGCGAACTCCAAAAAGGATCGGACGAGGTGCAGGCCTTCGTCGTAGGACAGGTGGGCGGTGGGCTTCTGTTTCAACGGGTTGCGGTTGAGATACTAGCGGGACGGACGGTCAGCTTACGGCGGCCCGTAGATTCCAGGTTGCATTGATGCGGAATCTGGGGAAGATGGATCGGGGGGCAGGAATGCTCTCACATGTGAAAAGAGGGTGGAGACGACGGTCGGCGTCACGGCCAACGACACCGACGTGGTGTTGAGCTTCAGGGGGTTCATAGTGACTACGTCTTGATGAGGCTCGCGACGAGGACAGCTGCTGTGCCGTCGGCAACGGCGGGCATGGAGCTTTTTGAAGCTTCCGGGGTGATTGGCAGGCCCGGGGGACAGACCATCACGTCGTGGATGAGCACAGAAGAAAGCTGGCCCTGAAACCGCCCTCAAAGCTCACTGCCGGAATAGGGGACCGATGACATCACGCGGAGACCAAGTGGATGGTTAATGTCCGCGGTCCTGGTCAATTAGTCTAACAGTAGTTGGGCACGAACGGGCTGGGTTGGCGACTCAGGCAGTGAGACGAAAGTGACCGTGGGAGCTTAGCGAACATTCATCAATAATTCTCGAACGCTCACAGTGAAATTTGATCATGTTTTCCTCAGCTTCTCGCCAGACAAGCATGCTGCTGGCAGCGGGACTCATCACGTATTCGGCAACCCAATCTCGCAGCTCAGCACAGGACCCTGCCCAGGCCTGAATGCGGACCCGGCGGCGCCCCACACAGCCTTCGTCACAGTGCCGGATGTCGCACGCACTATCTGCCCAAAAAATTGTGATTTTTGAGAATTGTCACCGAAATGGTCTGCCCCTCCAAGTACCCCGCGAACACCACAACCAGTCAACACGGCAACCATGGCATCTTCCAACCCTCCCACGGCAGGTCAGTCAAAACACGTCGATACCCTAATGTTTTTGGATCATCAAATGCTGACACATTGTTACAGAGGCCTGCCAGTCCACCTTTGAGCAGGCTGTGGCGCTGTCTCTGCACATGTGGCCGGCCCTCTCCCTCGCCGTCCAGAACCACTGGGGCGGCCCGGACTCGGCCGACAAGAGAGACTGGTTCGCCGGCGCTGTGGCCGAGCTGTTCCCGGCCTACACCAAGATCGCCAACGGACAGGCCGTCCCCGCCAGCAACGCCATCGAGGAGCCCGACACCGAGTACATCGAGACCTTCCTCCTCCAGGTCATGGTCGACGAGTTCGAGGTCAACGTCGACGACGAGACGGGCTTCGACGTCGCCGAGCGCATCATCAAGATCCGTGCCGACTGCGCCAAGGGCAAGTTCGAGGCCGTCGACGAGCTGCGCAAGAACTGGGAGAGCCGCAAGGGCGCCAAGGTTGACGGGCTCTACAAGAAGATTGAGGGCGGCGACCAGGAGACCGACTGGGAGGACGACAGTGAGGATGACGAGGATGGAGACGTCGACATGGACGAGGCGCCACAGCTTGTCGCTGCCCCCAAGGAGAAGCCGCAGCCCGAGGTTGATGAGGACGGATTCACAATGGTCACGAAGAAGAAGCGATAAACAAGCGAAGGAAATCCGACTTGGTCTCATGGAGATGGTGCACTAAAGGCCGCGGCTGTGATGTACAAGAGTCCGCAAATTAAGAGCTGCCATACGAGCCAGAAAAGAGTTCAACCCCGGGAACGCCAGCCAGCAAAAGCAATTCTTACGTCTACTACTCCCAGTCGGCGTCACTGTCGCTGTCGTCGCTGTCATCGCTGCTTTCTTCGGCCTTGCGCGCCTCCTTGGGGCTGTTGGGGGCGCGGCTGGGGACGCCCGAGGCGGCGCTGACGACGTCGTAGCTGGCCTCGCTATCGGCCTGGGACTTTTCGTCATTGGACTTGCGGGCTTCGGTGGGCTTGAGGGTGGATTGGGAGGTCTCGGCAGGGGGCGGCTGGATGGTGGTGGAGGACTCGGTCGACGGCGGCCGGGCGGGCTTCTTCTGCTCGGCCTTGGGTGCGGCAGCGGGAGCGGGAGCGGGAGCGGGAGCGGGAGCGGCGTCGGACTCGTCGGAATCGGACTCTTCGGAGTCGGATTCGTCCCAGCCAACTTCGTCTTCGGCGGACGCGGCTGTGACAGTCGTCAGCATCACGGCATTCATACCTAGTCAGTCGGGCTCACCTTTGAGGAGGTCTCGGCGGCGGGCCTCGGCCGCCTCCATGCCGTGTCTGAGGAAGTAGTATCTCTTCCAGAACTCGGCGTACGGGACCTGATCGGGCACCAGCTTCTCCATTGTTGTCCGCAGCTCAGGGTATTTCTTCAGATCATCACTAATGTCCCCAGTCTTGGACTCCACATCAAAAGTCTTGCCCCAGGTCGAAAACTCCTCCGTTGCGGGATCCGTTGTGAAACTCTCGGTGCTCGTGTGAATGACGTGAAGCTGTGCATCCTGCCTCGATGTGTGAATGACTCTCTTTCCCTGGGCGTCCTTGCTCTCGAACAGGACGGCGCCGCTCTGGTTGGTCGCGTCGGAGGGCGGCGCGATGCTGACCGCCTCTTTCAAAAAGTTGCTGATGTTGGTACCGAAGCGCAGGAGGGCCTCGTCGGCAGCGTCTTCCGCCTTTTGGAGCTCCTTGAGCCTCCTCGCCGCCTCGGCGCGGAACTTTGTCATGTACGTTTCCGAGTTGCTCATGGCATCGTCGGCGGCGGCGGCCTGGTCGCTTGTCATCGTCGGCGTGGTCTGGTTATCGGCTTCCTTGCCCTTATCCCCGGAAGGCTCGCCCTGCACCGTGTTGACGGTGAGCGACCGGGTACGGTTGACGATGGACGTGAAGCCCTTGGCGGCATCTTCGCCCAGCTCTGCCACCTCTTTGGACGCCTCCTTGTAGACGGATTGCCCCTGCCGCTCGGTTTAGCCGTTGCCTCCGGTGTGCACGCCTCGGCCGTCTTCTTACCTGCTTGACAGCGTTCCCCAAGAAGCCGCCGATCCTCATGCCCCAAGCACTCGTCGAGAGAGCCTTGTAGGCCTCCTGGAGGTCCTCGTTCAGCGACGCCTGCGGCTGGTCATTCTTGGTGTCCGTAGAGTCGCCCTTCTTCTTATCGGCGTCCTTCGGGAGGGCGCTCTCCTGGATGTGATCGTAGGCCAGATCCATGGCAAGGCTGCAAAGTCCAAGCTGGAGTCGACGCGGGTGTTGAATCGGGTGTTCGATGGTCCGTTGCGAGGCTAGGTAGCTGGTGCGGGCAATGTCGGATCGTGGAGGTTCTGCTCGATGTCGGCGTACGAATGGTCACTGACGTGAGGCTGGTGCTGTTCCTTCCCCCTGATGGGCGGGGTCCATGGCCGGCTGCATGATGGTCAGTGCGGGGAGTTGTGGTACGTCCCGCACGTGCGCTTGCGTCTATAAGCAGCTGAGCATTCCACCACTGAACGACGTGAAAGCAGCTTGGGAAGTGCGCAGTAAGATTGAAATGTTCGAAACTACGTCACCGTTGGAATGAGATATAGACGCCCTCGCCGAGAGGGTGGTTCTGTCTGCACGAAGGGACCTGCAACAGAACTTTGCCGGACTTGGTTCACTTACACGACGATTTCTCTGACACCAGCGCCTTCACAGCGGCGGCAGCTTACGGCTTACCCTGCGCGACACCTTACCCCAGACCCGAGGCGGCAGCGGGAGTGTGGTGCCATCCCGAGTGGCAACGGAGTTATTGCAACAGTGCCGTGGCTCACGTGCGCCTACGATGCAATTCAGAAGCCGCGACAGTAGTCGAAGACGGTAATAGCAGTCATTGGCCTTAGACCGTTGCATTCTACGCAGTACACCTTCAACTTGGCTGAGGCAACTCAACTGATCCTGACCTCTACAAAGGTGCACCCAGCAAAGGCGGTTCGTTCCTTCGCGCCGCCGCACGGGGCCAAACCCCTCGCCATGTTCCGAGGCTTATGGTGTAAGCTTTTCGGATGGGGCAGTTCGGGTCTAGACGCCTTCTCGGGCGTGGCGATTTATGCAACCAAGAGAGTAAGCAGGCCGATCATGTTGTGGTCCCTGACCAACAACAGTCACTAGGAATCGCGCTACAACGGCACGAGAGGCACGAAGGGCGCAGAGTACAAATGCAGTCATGCCGGGGCGGGTTCGTGCCGCGAACTGCGTCTGTTTCCTGTCCCTTTGATCCTGGCAATTGTGATGGCAGCAAACACCGAAAAGTGCCATTTGTCATCCGGATGCTCAAAGCTTCCAACGACTTTCCCTGACAACCAGAGCAGATCTTGCGACTCAAGGCCGTGGCAGGAACTCGATCAACCAGATCTGGCCCCTTTTTAAACCAACGCCCGTTTCTCGTTTTTCTGGAGAACAGTTGATCAGGGCCAAGACGGTCTCACGGCCATAAACGATTAGAGTTTCGGCCAGTCACGCCAGTCTCCTACGCTTCTGGGAGTGGGAAGCGTGAGCCAGAGCATGGATTGCTTGTTGTCCCATGGCGTGGGAAGAATGGCGGTTTTGGCGGTGCCTGGGGCGCGATGTAATACCATCTTGGAGAGGTATCGGCGTGGTTACACTGCACGAGAGATACCTCTGGTGGATAGCCAGATAGCACGGCTTTTGAATATTGGGTCAGCGGATTTACGCAGTAAGGCTGGCATGACCCTGACTCATAGCCAGCCGGCCGGACGCGCCGTTTGAAGAATTGGCAGGCTGGGCTAGTGCTGCACAGCCCGTACAGTGAACAGACGGACGAGTGACGGCACGGTGAGCACCACTGACCGCAGTCTCGTCCTTGGGTCTTGGCCGACGACCCGCCACTCGCATTGTTACGCAACGAAGAGCGTACCCACGTCATGCGACAGACTGGTGATGGCGGGCCGAAGCTGGTGTAGTGTGGCCGTCATATTGAGATGTCAGGCCGGTGCGGGGGGGGGGGGGGTCCTTGGACGCGAGATTGCGAAGTCGCGATGGTCCGATATTCGTGTGGATGAGACGGAAACGATGGACGAGAGGGAAGACGCGAGACGCAGCGGTTGTAAAACGCAGGCAGTCTCTTCATGATATTCGTCCGGCGGAGTGCTGCCATGTAAGTGAGTGACATGGAGCCTCCACTCACCCACCACCGCTTGTTGCTGCGGGCGGTGCTTAGAATGTGGCTATCCCCAAAACAGCAGCACGGAAAGCAGGAGGCAGCAAAGAGGATGCGTGGCAAAACCGATGAACATGCCGTTTTTAGAGGGATGAAGGGCGGGTTTTACAGGGGACGCGAGCTGGTGCCTTGGACTTGGCGGGTTGAGGTGACTTTTGTCCTCGAGTGGGCAGGTGGCAGTTCACTACACTGGTCAGTCAGTGGTGACACTTTACAGTGTTGGGGCCGGGGGACCGGATTCCCATCATGGGCAGACTGGGGCAAAGAGGGGCCAGGTCCAGGGAATTGGCGAAAACGACGGTGCAGTGTGCTGCTGTTCGGCGATAACGGGGCTTGCGCGCGCCCTCTGCCAATGGAAGCGTCAGAATGCGCCTCGGGGCCCCGACGCCCATCCTCTTGAGTCTTCCCTCCCCCCCTCCTCCCCTTGCCAATCGAGGACTGGCGTAGGGCCCCGTTGGAGTCGAACATGACGGCTGACAAATTGAAAGGGCGCTGAATCTTCCCCCTCACCGAGTGCCGCCGTTCTATTCAGTTCCACTTCACTTTCTCACTGGACACGGCGACCAAACCAACACCACCAACCGCTCGTCCTCGCATCACGCACACCTTTCCCCAAGCACGTCTTTCCCCGAATCCCGTGGAATCTCTGCATCTGCATCCCATTCTTGTTGTTGAGAAATCTGGTGGCCTGGCGACCGCCGTGTGACTCAGGCAGCAACTTTAAGGCGGAACACGCACCAACTCTGCACCGGACCCCAGCTTTTTTGCGTCACTCCCCAGCACCACCGCAAGCACCACCACCAACAGCACCGCTGCTGCGACCAACAATCTCCATACGCCTTTGCCTCCTACACATCTCGACGGCGAGTTTGGCGTCTTGTATTGCCGAGTGCACCACGCAGGCGTCGCGACACTGTTGAGCAACACCCAGTCTCCCCGCGATACCATCCGTTGATCCGGCGGCCTGGACCCGAATCCCATCTTGACCCCGGCACGAGCCGCAATCGGCCTCCCGAGTTTACCTTTCTTCGTAGCCCTCCTGCACCGAATTGACTTCTCTTTACCTTCACCACTTCGCCCCCTCACATACTCTTCGCAATGGCCTCCGCAACGAACGGTGGTTTCCCAACCAACTTCATTCTGACCCCGCAGCAGCAGAGCCTGCTCTTCGCCGCCCTCAACTCGAACAAGCAGCAGCTGGCGAACCAGTCCCCGGGCACCAAGGACACCTCCATGTCGCCTTCCTCCTTCCAGACGTCTCCCGCCCAGGCTCCCGCCAACGGCTTCCAGGAGAGCCCGTATCTCGACAACTATGACTACGACTTTGGCGACTCCAGCTTCGACTTTGACTCCCTCAATGACCAGGGCAAGATGATTGGAGATATCCCGGGCACCGCCAACTCCACCAAGTCAGATTCTACCGACAACGATTCCTCTGACAAGAG